ACTCTCCTGTCTTCAAATGATTGAGTCACTCTTCATCATTCTCTATCCCCTGTATATTCATTTCAACCAGATTTTCATACAAGCTTCACATTCTTCATTTAATAGCCACACAAGTATACCAGAACACCAATCTAGATCAATCTAAATTTGTTCTCTGATTCAGCTGAGTCTGCCAAGATTTCTTGATGAAATCCTTTCACTACTGAGATTTTAGTATTAAAAACGAGCAACTTTCAGGCACCTTTAATTGACCTTCAGGCTGCTTGGCAAACCTTTGATTGTACCTCCTTATCTACTCTTTTCATTTTATTAGTGCCAATCTAAACTATGGTCTCCTCACCTACCTCTGTAGACAACTTTATTACATAAATGAATACAAACATTGAACTTGCCTCCTATACATTTCCAGTATATTTTTTAAAATTTGTATTGTTTTCAAAGGCCAGTATATGGACAAGTGTACAACTAACACTTATTTCATTTGAGAGAGAGAGAGAAATCAATCCCTTCTGCTAGTTCATTCCCCAAATGCCCACCACTGGGGCTGAGCCAGACTGAAGTCAGAAGTTTGAGTGGCAGCGACTCAACCTCCTGAGTCATCACCTGCTACCTCCCACAGTTTGCATTAGCAGGAAGCTGGAATTGGGAGCAGAGAAAGATTAAAATGCAGGCACTCCGATATGGTATGCAAGCATCCCAGGCAGCAGCATAGCCACTAGGAGGCTGGCTTCTTTAAAAAAGTCTGATTAAAGTTAAAAAAAATATACATCAATCAGGACTTTACCTCATTCTATTGAAAGAAAACATTTAGTGCTGAGAATGAACGTCTGGAATTGTTAACAGCTTTTCAGGTGATTTTGAGACCTAGCTAAATTTTGCTCACACCCTCTGATTGCTGGTTCATGCTGTTTGATATTCATCTGGCTGCCCTTATTTCTTCCCAGCAGTTGAACATGTAGGCTGCACTTTGCAGACTCTTCAATGAGTTGTTAGAGCATCTGTCTTGCCTGTGGTCATCACACTTAATCTCTCCTTGCTGGAACTGTTAATACTCCCACTGGTGGCTTGCCAACCTTGAGAACAGCCAGGACAGCTCTGTTGCAGTATTCTGGCTGTGCTCCAAGTTTTCATTCTTGATCATTTTGTCTGACCATTGAATGCAAACTGTAGATCATAGATGACAGTGGTGGAAAAATTCAAGTAGACAGAAGTGTAATCTCAAGAACATGGAAGTCCCAAAATTATATAATAATTTGGTTATGAGCATTGCATCCTAAGGGTGTTTTGCTATGGACACAACATTTAGAATTTCAAAAAATAAAAGGAATTTTAATGTTTATCTTGTTTTTATTAGTATATAATTGTTACAATTTATAGTGAATTTCTTTGGGTCCAAGTTTTTTTTGGCAGTTTTCAAAAATGTAAAATGTCATTGATGGAAGCCATGACAATAGCAAAATAATAAAAAACCCATATTTACATACAATTACATATAAAAATGTGTATATTGGTATCATATTATATTTATATATCTTATACATGTAACATTTACATATAAATGTATATTAATATATTAAAATCATGGTTAGAAAGAATTTTATACTAATTAAATTTGCAGGACATAGTAGCTTCTCAGGTATTTTGTCTTCTAGTAGAATTCTAAATAACTGTGGGCTCATGGAGATAATCAATTAAGTAGCAACTGGAAGGGGTGGGTATTCAGCTTAGCACTTAAGACACCTGCATTTCTTATCACAGTGCCTGGGTTAATACTGGCTCTGCTCCGGATTCCAGCTTGCACAAAAGCACATGCTGGGAAGCAGCAGGTAATGGATCAGCTGACTGGGTCTCTGCCATTCAAGTGAGAGACCTAAACTGAGTTTTTGGCTCCCAACTTCAGCCTGCCCCAGCCCCAGCTTTTGCAGGCATTTGGGTTGAGAACCAGCAGATGCAAGTTACCTCTCTCACACATTCTCTCGCTCTACCTTTCAGATAAATAAAAATAAATATTTACCTTTCAAAACATGAAGCAACTAGAAAGTTATCAAAAGTCAGAGAAGATTGAATAAGCCTGGGTTGAGCCTTTTACTTCCTGTGTGGCCATGAGTACTGAGCATTTGTGAGCCTTAATTTGCTTATCTTTAAAATGTTCTTTGAGACGGTTGTTCAAAGAATAAATGAAATAAATGGTAAAGGGTAATGTGACATTATAAAGTGTTTTCATTTTGCTAAGCCAAAGGTCACTATAAAATTTTGAAATATCCTCTAAATTCTCTAAGGAACAGTAAAATAGTATTTTATTTAATTCAAAAGGTTTAAGACCTACTTTTATCCATTTTAGTATCCTTGGATTGGATTACTGATTATCATTAGCAATTCTTTAAACTTCATTGATAAAAATGAAATAGTTTGTTATTATCATCCCTGAAAATTGATGATTCATATACAGGAATGTATTGTGCTTCTCTAATAACCAGACATTTGTTTAGCGAGAAGTTTTTACTTAATAGTCCTGTCCATCTTCTTTATGGAACAAAGATTAAATTTTATATTTTTCCTAACATATTGGACATTTAAAATACTAGTATGTGGTTACATTTTTATTTGTGGTAATTATGATCACTAATAGTTACATTTGCTGAGCTCTTGGACAGAATATAAAGCATATGGGGCTGGTGCTGTGGCATAGCAGGTAAAGCCACCACCTGCAGTGCCGGCAACTCATATGGGTGCTGGTTCAAGTCCCAGCTGCTCCACTTCCGATCCAGCTCTCTTGCTGTGGCCTTGGAAAGCAGTGGAAGATGGCCCAAGTGCTTGGGCCACTGCACTCTCATGGGAGACCCAGAGGAAGCTCCTGGCTCCTGGCTTTGGATCAGCTCAACTCTGATCGTTGCGCCATTTGGGGAGTGAACTAGCAGATGGAAGATCTCTCTGTGTCTCTGTCTCTCTCTAGCTCTGCCTTTCAAATAAATAAATCTTTTAAAAATTTACAACACAATTTTCTATAGATATTTGCATTTTCAAGCTATATTTACTGCTTTTTGAGCTTGTAAGCATTAATAAACAATTATAAGTTCCCTTAAATTGTCATTGTTTTAATCCCTCATGTACATTACATTTTTTTAAAGCACCAATGATAGGTTCTCATTACAATAACATTAGGTAACCATCCCAGTACGAAGTTTTTACATCTTGTATTTCATACCATTTTAAATTCTACTTTTATGGGATTATCCTTTAGCAATTTTCTCTCCAGACACCAGAAACACAATCTTTTGTGCCACTAATCTTAGGACACCTTCCACCATGATACCCTAAACAACCATGCTGTATTCAATGGAATACATGCTAGGAACCAGAACAATTATCCAGACAAGTGTTATCCCTGCTTTAGCCAAATCTGTATTGTCAAAATGATAAATAAATGCCATGATTTTGTTGTGAATTTTTAAATCTCAAAAATTCAATAGCTTTTTTTGCGTTATATAAATCAGTAGAATGTGCCGTTGATGGTTAAAACATTAACCACAGAAAACATACTGCTAAAGATTTTCATTCAAGTTTGTGCTTGGTTACTTTATTGTTATCTCTGGTTAAAAGAATAATTTCCCTAGTATCTGATAGAGTTTATATAGCCACTTTTTTTTTCAGGAAGCCACCATTATTAGAATTAGAAACCCCTTCTCAGCCAGAGCTTAAAAAGAAGCAGCAATTCTACTCTTGAAAATTGGTTTTTGGAGTGTTGGTTAAAAGCTGTGTTCTTCCTTTCTAAAGGGTGAGCTTATTCTTTATACATGTGTTTATTTTGCAAGTAATTACTGTTCAGTTAATAGGTCCCTATTTCAGCCAGCTTGGGCTTTACAGTGAAGTACAATGGACTGTGCGGAAAAGTAGCAGACAGTTGTTGCTTATGTTCTGAAGGTTGTGACGTCTAAGACCCTGTGCTGGCCGATTTGGCTCCTTGTGGAGGCTCCCTTTCTGTCTTGCATTTAACTTCCTTCCTGCTGAGTCCTCACGTGGAGAATAGCGTGAGCTCTGGTCTTTCTCCTTCTTATAAGGACACTAATCCCATCCTGAGGGATCCCATCCTCATGATTTCCTCCTAACCTAATTCCTTTCCAAGGTGTCACCTTCAAATTCCTCCGCAGTGGAAGGCTTCAGTATATGAATTTGAGGATGACACAAGCATTTAGTCCACAACAGTTTCTAATTGGAGAATGCTCTTGAGTTTTGCTTAAATGGGGTTTTTAAAATTTAAATTTGGAATGTTTTGGAAAAGTCAAGCTCTCTCCAATGAACCATAGTCTCTGTTACTCCCTGTCATATTTTATTTTCTTTTTTAAGATTTGTTTATTCCAGGGGCCAGTGTTGTGGTATAGCTGGTAAAGCTGCTCCCTGCAGTGCCGGCATCCCACATGGACGCCAGTTTTAGTTGTGGCTGCTTGACTTCCAATCCAGCTCTCTGCTATAGCCTGGGAAAACAGTACAAGATGGCCCAAGTGCTTGGGCCCCTGCATGCATGAAGGAGACCCAGAAGAAGCTCCTGGCTCCTGGCTTCAGATCAGCACAGCTCCAGCCGTTGCAGCCATCTGGGGAGTGAACCAGTGGATGGAAGACCTCTCTCTCTCTCTCTTTCTGCCTCTGCCTCTCTGTAATTCTGCCTTTCAAATAAATGAATAAATCTTTTTTTTTTAAGATATATTCATTTGAAAGCCAGAGTAATAGAAAACAAAGGAGAGACAGAGAGAAAGAGAAAGATTTTTCATCTGGTTCACTCCCAAACCGCATGCAATAACCAGGCTGAGCCAGTCCCAAACCAGGATTCCAAGCTTGATCTGACACCCACTCCTGTCATTTTACTCCTTGTCCGATAATCCTAATGGCGATATCTGTCAAACTTTTGTAGGTACTTGAATTTGTGACCCCATATTTAGACCATTTAACTTGATGACTTCATCAAGGTTTTTGTTTTAAAGTACTCTTTTCATTTTGTTTTACAGGATGGAGAACCTAATAAGGGGAAGAAATCCCCCCCAATATCAGAGAAGTCCCTGTAAGGAGGTTCGTGCAGCACTTCGGAAGAGGCCTGAGGAGGAGTGTAAGTATGTTTAATAGGGTTAACTGTGTTCTAGTGAGCTTTGGGTGAGTAGCATAGTGAACTGAAAGTGTTAACATGTACATGTTTAGTCAAACAATAGAGATATTCAATAAATGTGTTTAATTCAGCTGGTTTTTAGAAGTAAATTAATTTATATTGCCTGAATGTGAGTGTTTAGAACACTTTTTTTTTACAGAAGATTCTACTTGTACTTCCAGATGCTGTAAAGATATTTGGGTTCTATGTTCAAATGAGATGAGAAACTTGGCTACACAATTCACCACATGGTGTGTGTGTGTATATTAATAGTTCTAAGAAGGCCTGAAATAAAGAAACTTTTGAAATGTGTTTAAAATCAAGATTTTCCATTTGACCACAATGCTCCTTTAGCATTTTTTCAGACAGAGGACTCCTGTAAACTATTTTATTAGACTATAGAATAGTTATCTGGGTAAAATTTGTACTTGTCTTTCAAATTGAAACACTTGATTTAAACAAATTTAAGAGTCTTGAAACGTGGATGTGATGTATCTGACCATAAATTTGTTTTAGTTCATCCTTAAATTACTATATGTGAGAATATATAATTTTCTGTAAACACTGTATTTGCATATTCATAGTCTGTGACATTGTAGATTTTTGGAAACTTTTAATATTCACACTGTATAAGAGGAATTGCAATACTAACTTTCCTCATAGTGTTTGCATCTGATTATTTTCAGAGAACTAAATCACAATCCATTATGACAAAAATTTATCTTAATTTTGTCCATCAATAGGAATTTATTTTTTTTTAAGGATAAGCCTAATTTAATAGGTTCACTGAACTATATGGTTTACTGGATGTTTAAGATTATATTGATATTTTAAATTAGTTCAAGTACACAGTTCTGGGTAAAGACAAAATACATTATATCTGGGTACACTCATGGCAAGCAAAGTGTATTCATTTTGTTCTGTATTATTGTAAAGTCGATAGATACCCTTAAGTTATAACATCTATGCCATTTCAACATAATATTAGCCTTCTTTTAATTAGTATCTCTATATCCTCCAAAACTGAAACAATATCCAATTAAAACTAAAATTTGAAAATGAATACAAAGTTAATGGGGTTTTAAACCAAAAACCATTATAAGTCACAAATGCATGAAAAAAGGTATCTTCTTTCATTGGGTTCATTGGAAACTCTGTGGTTTCTCCTCTATGCTGGTTTAGCACAATCACCTTGGTTTCTGTTATAGTTTTACAGATTTTATTTTACAACTTAGAAAGGATTTTGGGGGACTATATTTGCAGGTGGTTACAAAATAGTGGCTATTTAAAATAAACAAAGTGACTTTTCAGACTTTTATTAGTGAGTTGTTCTAGGCCAAGGATTGGCCAATATGGTTTATTGATAAAATCCATCCTGATGCCTATTTCTAAAAATAAGGTTTTATAAGCCGGCGCCGTGGCTCAATAGGCTAATCCTCCACCTTGCGGCGCCGGCACACCGGGTTCTAGTCCCGGTCGGGGCACCGGATTCTGTCCCGGTTGCCCCTCTTCCAGGCCAGCTCTCTGCTATGGCCAGGGAGTGCAGTGGAGGATGGCCCAGGTGCTTGGGCCCTGCACCCCATGGGAGACCAGGAAAAGCACCTGGATCCTGGCTCCTGCCATCGGATCAGCGCGGTGCGCCGGCTGCAGCGGCGGCCATTGGAGAGTGAACCAACGGCAAAGGAAGACCTTTCTCTCTGTCTCTCTCTCACTGTCCACTCTGCCTGTCAAAAAAAAAAAAAAAAAAAAGACTAAAAAAAAAAAAAAAATAAGGTTTTATAACATGGCTGTTATAGTTCACTTTATATTGCTATTAAAGAATACTTGAGACTGGGTAGTCTATAAGGGGAACACCCTTATTATGGTTAAGAATTCTAGAGGTTGAAAAGTTCAAGATTGAGCAGCTTCATCTGCTAAGGGTTGGTGTTGCTTCTTCCATGGTGCAAAGCACAAAGGTAGGTAGATGCATTTGGAAGTGAGAACACAGAGGGGTGAACTTTCTCTAATCCAGTCCTGTGAGAGCAAGAACCCACTCCCATAAAAAAGGCATTGATCCATTTATAAGAGATCCCCAACTCATGAACCAAACACCCCTCTTAGACTCCACTGCCCAGCACTACTATAGTGAATAATTAAAATTCCAGTACAGGAACTTTTAGGGACATCCTCAAACCACAGAAATAGTAATCACTTATTTAGGCATTGCATACAAATGCCTTTGTACTGAGTAGAGACTTTGTGATAGAAATCACACAGCCCACAAAGCCAGAATTATTTACCTAGTACCTTATGGACAAAGATTTCTGAATTCTGATCGGAGCAACTGCTTCTCATAATGTAGTCTCCAGATCACCAGTAGCAGTCCCTGGAAACTTAGAAATGCAAATTCTTGGGCTGCAATGCGCAAATATTGAATCAATAACTCTTAGAACAGGACCCTACAGGGGATTTTGATGCAAATGCAAGTTTGAAAACCACAAGCATACATCATAGGAGTTGCTGCAGAATGATACTAAATCATCTTCTCTACAAAAGACTAACAATAGGCATATTCCATAGTCAAGTCTTATTGTTGTCTAATGTAAGGTAAATACATTAAAGTAATAATATGTACCTAGTAGTGTACATAATGTAATGGTTACTTATGTTACTAGCTTTCATTAATTGAAACACAAAATCTCCACAATTTTATTCTCTTCCTGAGCGGTAGTCATTATCCCATGTTAGTATAATAAGCACTACTCCTTTCCCTCTTACAGACCAATGTGAATTCCCTGAGGAGAAAACCCACTATGTATTCCATAATGGAAGCAACATAGCATGGTAGTTAGCACTATTAACTCTAGAGACACATAAAAGACTTTATGCTCTAATGTGACATTTAATGTGACCAGCTGCAGGACCATGGACATTCATTTTTTTCGTAAAAGACTCGAGACTATCTTATCAATTTCTTTTGAGAATTAGGAAGATTTTTTTAAGTATTTGGTACACATTTTAGTCAATTTTAGGTAAGATGTCTCTGGTATACCATACAAAATCAGTTAAATGAGATATACCCATATAAATATTTTGGAATCATCAGCTTTTTGAGAAGCAAGAACTCTGTTTTGTTTACTACTACATAAACAAGTCATAGCAGTATTGCTGACACTGAGGAGGTATTTATAAATATTTCATAATGAATGAGAAATGAGTGAAGGAGTTAATTACTTCAAAATTGAAATTATACCATAATAATCTGATAGAGGAGAATGGAAGAGAAAGGAAAGGAGGATGAATGGGAAGGATAAAAGGTCAAATTTCCAAATCTGCAACAGATTAAATAGATTCACCTTTCCTTGCTGTTCTCTCCCAAGAGCAACTAAATCCTCTGGAAACTATCCAACAGGCCATGATTTAAAAAAAAAAAAAAAAAAGGAAGCTCTGAACATTTGAACATTTGAAAGATGTAATGATAAAGAGGGGGAAAAGGGCCCAGCTGAGGCTGGGCCAATCTGAAACCAGAAACCAGAAGCTTGTTCCAGGTCTCCCATGTGGGCTCAGGCGCCCAAGCACATGGACCGTTCTCCACTGCTTTCGCACCCATATTAGCAGGGAGCTGGATTCGAAGTAGAGAAGCCGGGTCCAAATGGGATGCCGGCACTGCAGGCAGTTTAAACAGCCTTGCCACAGCACCAGCCCCTATAATTAATAATTTTAAAAAACCCTTGAATAAAGAAGGTAGACAGGTTGGGACTTTAGAAAGATAATAGGTATGTTTCTTGGATTTTGTGTTTTTGTCTCCCATGTATCCCTGGATTAGGCATTAGAAAGTCCTGCAGGCTGGCATTGTCAATAGGCATAAAGAAAAAGAAATCAAAAGAAGCTTGCTCTGTTTGTCCAAAAGACCAGGAAAGGGGAAGAGAGACCTAATCAAGAGCCTAACCTCCATTCAAAAATCCTCATTGACATAAAATTCAATTCACCTGCACCACCATAATAGTAAGGCCCCAAGCTGTCCCAGCCCTGCACTACCTGGTGGGGACACCTATTTTGTGGTAATGGTGGCAACAGCTAAACCATGTGTCTCCTTACCCTCTACCCAGTGGCATAAGAAGATCCATGCTAAAGGGCTTCTGTGCCTTCCCAGTAGCTTACCCAGCAATGTTAAGGAGCCCAGAGAAGAGCACTTTCAACCCTGACAGATGACACCAGAGCAAAGTAGACCAGAACACCATTCACATGACAAGGGACCAGAAAACTCACTGTAATTGGCAATAAAGGCCAGAACTCATATGCTAAACCTAAACAGGATAAATGTTTGTCAGAATAAAAGATCTCAACAGGATTGAGTTTCCTTAACATAATCAAAATATCTAGGATATAATTGAATATTGCTCATCATACCCCAGCCAGAAAAAGCACAATCTTAAGAAAGAAAACCTCTGAACCAAATAGAAGATGAATCAGATGTTGGAATTACCTAACAAAGAAATTGAACCAGCTTCAACAATTACATAATCCCTTATGACAAGTTAAGAAAAAAAGAAGTTATTAAAAAAAAAAAAAAACAAGGAAATTATGTAACTGAAAACCAATTACAAAATTTAAAATTCCATGGAATGGGCTCACTAGTAGAGTGAAATGGCAGAGGATAGACTACATGAACATGAAAATTCACAAAGTTTAGTTAATTTGAAAAAATAAGTAGAATATAAACTAAGCAAAAAAGAACAGTTTGAGAAATTTGTGGGAAGAGAATAAAATATCAGATTCATAGCAGGAGAAGAGAAAGACTTAGGGACTGAAAAAAAAACATTTAAGAAGAAATGATTATAAATTTCCTGTTTGGCAAAAAACATAAATCTAGATATTCAATAACCTGGGTGAACTACAAAGGTAAACTAAGAAAAAAAAAGGAAGAAACCATCCCATGACATTTCATAATTAAATTTCTGAGAATTAAAGATAAAGAAAAATCT